AAAAAAAAACATACATTTTCAAAAAGCTGCATTGCTTATATCAGTTTTAATACCACCTTCATCATCATCATCATCATCAGTTTTATTAAAAATAAATATCTACACATGCATATATTTAATACATATTCACACGCTCCTTTGCTCGGTCCAGACCTGTTGAAATGCACTCTCGTCAGTTTTATTGGTTCAGAAAATAAAAACCTTACCAGATCTCATCCACGGACCGCTTAAATGGAAAAACACTTTCAGCAATCCGGATGAGAGTTTCTGCTGAAGGAAAAAAAATAAGCCTATTGTATCTTATTCCCTAAAACAAATCTATTTAGTGCAGCAAAAGAGATAGAGAAGCATTTCTAAGTTCAGTGCATGTGTTTACAAAGAGAAGAAACATCAACAGGCGTTGGTTTACATGTGGAAAACCTCATCCAAAAATAAAGTCCCACTACACTAAAAAATGCTGGGTTAAATACAACCCAGTGATGGGTAAAATAGGGACTAACCCAGCAATTGGGCTGTTTTGACCCAGCGGTTGGGTTAAATGTTTAAGGTAAAGCTACAGAGCAGCTGCGTTCAGGGTTTGTGTCACGCCAACATTTCTTCAAATACAAATAAAACGTCTGCCTCCACAAATAAAATCAATATTGTTTTATGCTAGTGTACAGTATATGTGAATCGTGAATAACTATTCTTAATCATTGAGTTCTCTATTAGTTAGTAATGCACTACGTGTGTGTCTGTACAGATTGCGAAGATCGAGTCCCAAAGCACCATCAGTGTAACATGCTCGCGCTGCTCATAATACATGCGCGTTTTTACGTCTCTAGAGTAGACAGCGCTAGCACATGCACACTCGTTCGTTACCAAATGACTTCTTGTAGGAAAATTATTATGCAAATATTTTGTCTTTGAATCAGTTAAGCAATGAGCACATCTTGAATTATTAGGCTACACGTTTTCATGCATGCATTGCCTCCTTAAAAAAAAAAAAAGTATTTTCTAGCGCGTCTCCGATCTGGTTTCCAGTAAGTGGAGTGTGAACGCAGACTATTAGAGAAATCACTTTATCAGCTGGGAGTGCGGTATATGTCTAATGTTCTCTAGGCTTTAACACTTGCATACTATAAGCAGCTACACATTTCCCTCGCGTTTATAATATTATTCGACGCGATTTTTCTATAAACGGTTGAACAATAATGCTCGGGGAAGCAGCATGCAGTAATCGGGGTCTCCTCTGGTGTGAATGAGGCAGCAAGTAATCATTTTTACAATCAATACTGCAGCTCAAATACCTCTACACTGCTATGAAATGAACAAGATGTTCAAAAACTGAAATGAAAGGATAGAAAGCAGAAAGGATGACATACTACATTAAACAATATGTTCAAATTCAATGCATCTGGCTACCTGGCCTCTTGACATACAGGCAAAATCTAAAGAAAACTATACAAATATGTATAATATCTTACACATAATCAGTGTTTTCTTTAAAAGAAACATTCCAGTGTGGCATCCTGGATCCATATATATATAGTATAGCCATATTATTTCTGGAGGTGTTTGAACAACATTCAATATCTAAAATACATAATTAACCAGCATTTGTCTTTGCCAGTTTTTAAAGCTAGGGAAGTAACGGTTCACAAATTCTCAGTTTTAGGGTCAGTTTAATTTTGCATACCATTTGGATAAAAAAAAAGTATATTTGCTATATTATAAAGCTGTCTGGGTGTTTTAATGGCCATAATATGTGTAAAATAGTATGTAAAACATGTTAAATAAATAAATGAATACCCATTAAAACATCCAGTGATTGCCGGACATGCAGAATACGCCATACTTCTATTTACTACCACCACAAGAAAGTTAGTTTTCTTTTCATGTCCTTAACAAGATGTGTTTTTAGCATACAAATGCAATAGAAAGAATAAAGGTCATGCAAAGTGAAAATAATTTTGGACACTGTATCCGTCATATCGTGGAATAATGGCTCCAGACCGGCGATTATTCAGCAGTGCAGCACATTCACAGCGTGAACAAACGGCCTACAGAGACTGAGAAATGAGCAAACGCTGCCTGCTGTAATCACAGCGTCTGTCTGCGCAGAAATCCTCAGCGCTCTCTACTGAGTGATTGAAACAACCAACAAATAAGAGCTCCATCCGCTTCACCTTTAGGCTTTGAGCACGTGAGCAAACTGAACACGCACGCTGTTTGGAAACACATTTAGAAAGCTGTAAAAAGCTTTTAACACTGTGTTGATGAATCCCATCCAGTTCAAATGATTCTTTACAAGTTTGTACTCAGTTATCGACCGATTTCAGTTTGGTGCACCGTTACAGCCCTAGTTTAACATAATCTCCTCATATGATCAATTGCACTTCAACGAGCGGAGCATAAAAAAAATAAATAAATAATACTTTTATCTTGTTTTCTAGAAAAAAATAAATAAAAATGTTCTTAGTATTTTTGTTGTTTTCGAGCACAAATATCTAAACATCCCTAAATCTAAAAAATAAACAGATCAAAGAGAAAACAAGATTATTTAAATATTATTTATATTATATTTAAGCAATATTTAATATTATTATTTTTATCATTATATTATTTATATATTTAAATCTGGGTTATTATTGTTAACTAAAACGAAAACTGAAACGAAAACTAAAACCATTAAATATTTTAATCACTTGACATAAAATAAACATTAACTTTAACTTCATAAAATATAAAAGCTTTCGATCCACTTCAAATGTTGACTACTGTATATTGTGTGTGTGTGTGTGTGTGTG